AGGTTGCTATGAGTTGGAATTGACACCATGGCAGTGAGTTTGGTTTTGGTTTGGTTACATATATTTATGTTCTTTAGATATTGTGCAAGTTCTCTACTTTTCCTTCTATATATGGACTCTTGGGAGCTCTGGTGGTGTAGTGCCTAAGGTATTTCACTGCTAACCAGAAGGCTGGTGGTTCAAACCCAGCAGCCACTTCTCAGAAGGAAGACTGGGCAATCTACTTCTGTAGTGATACTGCCTCAGAAACCCAAGGAGAGGTTGCTATGAGTTGGATCCAACTTGAGAGCAGAGAGGGTTTTTTTCTTTTCTTTAAAAAAAAACAAAAAACAAAAAACATATGGACACTGGATATGGATCTCTGTCCTATTCAGAGTCTGATCAATGTTAGGAGAAATGAGAAAATTTTTTAGTTTTCCTTTTCTGCTTTTATTATTGTTTCATGACTTTAAAATAAGTTAACTCGCAATATCATGGCACTGACAGCAACTTTTCCACAGACATACTTTATTCTTTTCCTCTATAGACTCAGCTCTGGTGGAGTAGTGCCTAAGGCATTTGGTTACTAACCAGAAGGCTGGCAGTTCAAACCCACCAGCCACTCCTCAGAAGGAACACTGGGCAATCTACTTCGTAGAGACACCACCTTGGAAACCCAAGGAGGGGTCACTATGAGTCAGATTTGACTCAACGGCTATGAGTTTGAGTTTTTATAGACTCAGCATTAGAAGGCAGTCTCCTTATAGTTGGAAAACCAAGACCTGGAGAGGTGAAGGGATCAACCCAAAGTCCTATAGTTCTTTAGTGGCTCACTGGGCCACCACAGTGATGGTTGCCTGGCACCCTGAGCCCCTCAGCATCATGCTCCATCCAGGCTTGGCTGACTTCTGGGTATCCACATGAGTGCAAGTGGCCACTGGAGAAGATTGAGTTGTGAGGCTTGACCACCGGAGTCAAGAAGACGTTCAGAGATGATAATGGCCACTTAGTGTTTTGCCAAGTATCTTGCAAAAGAACCCTCTTCAGCAAACTGGGAGTTAATTGTATTCTCCACACACCAATTTAATAATTGTCAGAACCAAGGTACACTCAGATCAAGCAGCTTGTCTGAACTAAAAAACCCAAGCTTGGGAAAGAACAGAGTCAGATAAACATAAATAAAATTTTCTCTGAAGATTCCTGTGGGATCTCAGAAACTCATCTGCTCCCTTCTGACTATGCCTTCCATGCTTGAGAATATTTGAAGCACCTGTCATGAAAGTTTGTCCTAAAAAAGCCAGCATTCAAACTTATTTATATTCAATAGTAGATTTTCCTGACCCGTATTTGCCTTCTTCCTCTGTTTATATGTTCTAACTAAGAATTTATTCACAGAATAAGGGGTTATTTATAGATGTTAGTGTGGATGTAAAATGGAAACCTCAGGGTTGTACTTGCTGTATAGGAAATGCAAATACCACTGTGAATTATAGCTACAGGCAGTTTGACTAGCAGTGAATGGGTGGATTGGGAGTTCCCTGGTCACACTTATGACTTGATAAAATAATTTAAAAGCTCAGTTTCAGTGTCTTCACAGGGAGTCTTAACTGAGGGTTGCATTCCCAAACTCTTGAAATTGTATCCATTGTGTCTATGGGTGTATGTCCATGAATGTGTATTTTTGAGGAAGAAGGTCCATAGTTTTCATAAGAAATCCTGATATATGTGTGGAACAGGATCAGCATTATGTACATACACAATAGGCATTTCAAAGCTCTTCCATGTGGCTCTTCTGTACAAAATTAATTAATTTTCATTATCTGTCCAAATTTCATTAAAAGAACAACTTTCTTTGGGTAGGTGTTTATGCTCAATATGTTCTTAGTCAAAATGCATATATTGTTTGGGACAGGCAATGTTTTTGAAAGATAAAACTAAAAAAGTTATAACATCATGTTATGCTAAAAATATTCAAAGCCATTAACTTCCATAGTGATGGTTCACATTATTCATGTGAAAAAAATCCAGCATAAAAACCCAACAATTCGTTGTTTCTGCTTCACTGGGAAGACAGCTGAATGGTTACGCAATGCCTGCCCATTGCAGGCTATTTTGTAGACCAGCTCACCAGTCACATCATGTTTTTCTCCATAGACCATAAAACATTTTCCTTCTCTTTGTTCTCTGATAAGATTTATTTGAGGTTTGTGATAGATGATTTATGTACATTATATTCCCACTTATACATGAGAAAGCTAAGCCTTCAAGTAACATGCTGTGGGTCACAGAGCAAGGAAGAGAGCACTAGGTTTTGAATCATTGATTATCTGACACCAGTATGCACATTCTTTCCTCTAAGCCATGTAGCTTCTTGTACAGTACTCACTGCTACCATGCACACCTACCTCCTTCTGAACATAAGAAGTAAATGCTTGCCAAAGGTCAAAGCTAGGGTTCCAGATAAAGGAATTTTGCTAAAAATAAAAATTATCAGAAGATATGTTACCAAGATATTCTTGGCTCTTCAGCTGAAGACTATCAACTGTCTAAAATCCCAGCAAACCTATGTTGACATATCCAATCTCAAACCAATAGATTTATCTTCATTTGGCACATGCCACCTTTTAAATCACAAAGTAATTTACCTTTGGGAACAAAACATAATTAAACACACAATGCATCTGTTCCTTGTCTCAACAGACTTCTTCTTACTATTGTATTATCCTTAAATTAAGATCCCTGACTGACTACCATGTTTAAGTGCTCAGCTAGTAATCAAAAGATTGGAAGTTTGAATCCATCCAGAGGCACCTCAGAAGAAAGGCCTGGGGATCTGCTTCTAAAAGATCACAATAGCTGAAAATTCTGTGGAGGTAAGTTGTATGTTGACACATGCAGGGCCATCATGAGTCAGAGGTGACATGATGGCAATTGCTATATATATATAAATTAGGACAGTGTCATGAGTTAAGTAAAGCAGCCAGTTGAGAAGTGTGAATGTAGGAACATTTTATTTGCTAATTGTTTTTTGTCTCACTCATCTAACTTGTGGTTTAATGTTTCCATACCTCTTTATTGGAACCAAGGAGCTCTGGTAGTATAGTGGTTAAGACATTTGGCTGCTAACCAAGAGGTTGATGGTTCAAACCCACTGAACATTCTGCAGAAGAAAGATGAGGTAGTCTGCTTCTGTAAAGATTTACAGCCCTGGAAACTCAATGAGGGTCACTATGAGTCAGAATAAATTTGATGGCAGTGAGTTTGGTTTCGTTTGGTTTATTGATACTAGCTCTTATGAGTTCACATCAATGACAAAACAAATTTTGATTTTCTAAGGTTCAGCTCAGGAGCTCTGGTAGTGTAGTGCTGAAGGAATTTGACTGCTAATCAGAAGGCTGGTGGTTCAAACTCACCAGCCACTCCTCGGAAGGAAGGTTGGACAATCTACTTCGGTAGTGATACTGCCTCGGAAACCCAAGGAGGGGTTGCGATGAGTTGGCTCTGACTCGACAGCACATAACAACAACAACAACACAAAGTTTAGCTCAAAGTATACTCAATTAGGGCAGGAGTCTCCAAACTTTTTTTTCTGTAAAGGGCCAAAGAGTGGTGCAAAAGTCTCTCCCTTTAACTGAAAGGTTGGCAGTTCAATCTCACCAAGAGGCTCCATTGGAGAAAGACCTGGCAATCTGCTTCCATAAAGATTACAGTCAAGAAAATCCTATGGGCATTTCTGTTCTGTCACGTGGCATCACTATATGTTGGAACTGACTTGACAGCACATAACAAGAACAACTTAGTTTCTGTCATAACTACTCAACTCTCCCATGGTTAAACAGCCACTGACTGTAACAATATGTAACAAATGAGTATGGCTGTGTTCCAATAAAATTTACAAAACAAAGCAGTGAGCCTGTGGCCCATAGTTTGCAGATTTGGTCTGTGGCCCATAGTTTGCTGACTCCTGGATTAGGGAATAGATATAATCCTAAAAACTGAAGAAAAGATGAGGAGTCCTAATTGCATGTACAAGAGTGCTCGTTAGAAAAGGTCTGTGGATAGCTGTGTATGTTTTATTTTTCTCATGTGGACATTTATTCATATTTTACACACAGCATATTATTTAATATATACATTTACCATATAGTAGGGAATCTTCTATGCAGTATATTGGAAGCCAGGAAATATGGATTCTAATCCAAGCTCAGCCACTAACTGGCAGTGTAACATTGGGCAAACTACTCTCTCTGAATTAAAAAAGAAAAGAGTAGAGGATTGTGGAGGCTCCAAAGTTCCTTCTACTATATCAGTCCCTGATGCTATGATTTTCTTACTAAGATTTTTAGGAAGAAAAAGAAAGTTAAGAAAACAAAATTAGACACACAGATTAAAATTATGATAAGAACCTGGTCCAGAACCATATAATCAACCAAACCACTGGGACCAACAAATTGTAGGAGAGCTATGCAAGAGGTCACTGCACAGAGGCATGGAGTGGAGGAACACCACAGGTTGTTACTTTGGGGCTGAACTGAAGGTGACAATGAGGACTTTGCATCTATGTGATGAGCAGACTCACACTTCAATTCACTTAGTATCATAAGGAAAGCTTCCTTATGACTTCACAAGACAATCCTGTGAACATTTATAAGAAAAAACAGCACTAAAGAGCAGAACCCTTTGTGATGTGCATAGCCTTGTAGGGAACCTCTCTCACACTCGGTAGAGCTGTCCATTTCTTAAGAAAACCAGTTAGAACCAAAGATGGTCATTATATTCTCAAAGAGTGGTGTTCAAGATAGTTAGTTGATCTTTGCATACCGGATATTGAGCAGGATCTGAGTGGCCCTATGGTTTGCAAGCCATGCTCTGAAGTGACCCCTATAGAAGGGATTAGGGTGTGAGATAAGCTGGAAGAGTAATTTGCCCATACCTACTTCAACCAGAACCCTATCCTGGACTTCTGTTTGTTTCACAGATTGGATGGTAACCATTAAACAAATTCTGGTCTATCTACATTGTTATAAATGGGAAAATCTAGTCTCAGAAGGGGGCATAAGGGGATGTGGCTGTTGCAGGAAGTGAGAATAGATTCTATCAGGCATGAGAAGTTCATATTCATCTTCTGGGGAAGGTGGATGCTTAGGGGTGGGAGGCACATGGAGAAGTGAATACTCGGTCTCAGTTCCTTTGAAGGACTTTCTAGGCCTTTCATCCTGAGGGTAAACATTCTCATAGTACTTCTCAGCAGAGTTCACTGATGGTCTTCTCCCAAGGACACTGTGATTAATGAGGGTATAGCACAGCTCTTCTGCAAGGGCCTGGCCAGCATTTCCCTGTGGGTCAAAAGGAGAGCCCATCTTAAGACCTGGTCTCTTGCCATTTCTTTACACTTCAGTCTCAACACAGGGTTGACCCTGGGTAAACTATATCTCCCACAACAGCATCCCCACCTTTTTGGTTATTTTTTGTAGTTGGTTGTCCCCACCCCAACAACTACCCCAAACAGACAGAGCTCCTGTGTTGTCCACAGTATAGAGCCTTCTTGGGCATGTGCTCTTTGCTGCATGTTATCACCACTTAAAATTCTCAGTGTTTCAGGGCCCTGTGAGCAGTCCATTCTTACAAAAGCAAATGACCTGATGACACCTTATTTTGACTGGGCTATAATATTTAACCACCCATTTTTAGAGATAGTTTCCTTTTAAAAAAGAAATAACCCAAGGATGATCTCATTCATGCTATAATCTCCAGAGAAAAAACACAAAGTGGTAAAGTGTAGGCGGAAGAGCATGAATTTTGAAGTGAGACTTGGTTTTGAATCCTGGCTCTGCCATCTTGTCAGCTGTCTGGCCTTGGAAAATTCACTTAAGAACTCGGTTTTCTCATCTGTAAAATGGGAGAAACTCATGGTGCTAATCTTAGAGGATTGTTGGGGCAGTAAAATTAAAAACTAGGTGCAGTGTTCAACCTACTGCCTGGCATAAACTAAGTGCTCAGTAAATGTTAGTTATTTTCAATTAGTTATACAACAGAGGAGGCTGCTGCCTCTGTCGCCAGTCTCTGTACATGGCCCTATGGGGTCACAAATACTGGCATTTGATATTCTTTCTTCTACGTTAGGGTCAGAAGTGATCTTGGAGGTCAACTTCTCCTGGCATCTGAGGTATCTGTGTTGCCACTGTCATCTCAGAAAAAGGTTCAGAGATATTCTTACCTGGATGGGAACAGCTGGCATTCCTTCATCTGGAGAAAGAAAAAAAAAACACTCCCTGAATTTCAGGTCATGGAGACATTTGAGAAAGTGAAGAAAGGGGACTGGAATATAAGCAACTGGAGAGCCAAGGAACAGTGAGGTTACCCTCACCAAGCTGTGCTGATCTATAGCACATCCCTTAACAAGAGACAGCCAGGGCTGTACTGAGGCTGAGAGGGAGACACACTCAAGGGCATTTGGCTAGGAAAATCACACTTCTGTTCCACTTCTTCTTTGCCTTCATTTCTCTATCCCTCTCCCTTTCTTCCTTCCACAAAATTTACTGTGTGCTTACTCTGAACCAGCAGTGGGGAAAGAAAGATGAATGAGGAGTCCTTGACCTCTGGGCCTCCCAGGACAGCACAGAGAGGCAGACCGGGGGCTCTGAGAGATCCACAGTGCAGAGAGGAGGGTGTTGTGTCTACTGTAGGTGGCGGGGGATAGTGGTGGTGTGGGAGTTGGTACTCAAAGAACACTTTTCAGAGAAGGAAACCCTTAAGCTGAACATTCCCATTCTTACACCTCTGACAGACAGTAGCAAAAGCAGGACAAATTTCCCAAAGTCAATTTACTTAAAACCAACTGACACTGGCCAGAGACCAATTATTTGTTACTCCTGATACAGACACCAACTCGTGGGAGAGGTCTGTACTCACACATGGAAACCTCATGATATGGCCCTACACAGGGGATGGGGATATCACTATTAGCTACTTTATTGTAAATGGATTTTCATCCCTTTGGTACTGACATGTCAGGTTCTCACATCTCCACAAGCTCCAGTGGTCACCCTGGACTTTGCAGATTATCACTGCCTACAAAAGGGTCTGTGGAGAGGTCTCATTTCTACCCCGTTTCATTCTGATAGGCACTCTGATGGCTCTATGGTTAACACATTATTAGGCTGCTAATCAAAAAGTTGGCAATTTGAATCCACCAGTTGCTCCACAGGAAAAAAGGTGAGGTAGTCTGCTTCTCATTTACAACCCTGGAAACCCTATGGGGTAGTTCTACTCTATTGTAAAGGGTGGCTATGATTTGGAATCAACTTCATGGCAGGGGGTTTGGTTTTTACACTCTGATGAAGATTGAGGTTTCCTGGGATTCACAATTCTCATGGGTGAAATTGTGGTGGTGGGTGCTATATTGTTCGTTTACACACATTACCAAGCTAGTGTTTAAGACTCAGAGTTGAATGAACTCTTAGCTCTCCTTTTTTCACTTGGCAGGACAAAGACAAACCTCTATCCTCAAGCCTACGCTTTCTTATTATCTCTTTCATATATGATACTATTCACTACCTCTCCTCCAATTCTTTTCTCATCTTAACCCCAATATTGTCTGTCATTAGCCTCCTAAATGGTCTTCTGGCATCTGTTCATGTCATTCCCTGCTGCAGTTTGTTCTCCACACTGCAATGGAAAATCTCTCCAAAGCAATTCCTGTAGCTCTCAAGACAAAGATCAAAATCCTTCACTTGGCCTCAGGACTCTGCCCCTCTCTTCCCTGCACTCTCTGTGACCCATTTGCACTGTCTTTCTTGCAGTTCCTTTGACTGGTCTTGTGCCCTCCCACTCTTTGTATATATTTTTCCCAGTTAGCCTCTTCAGCCTTTAGACCTCAGAAATTTTCAGAGAAGTATGGAGATCCATAAGGAGCTCTGGTGGCATAGTGTCTAAGGTATCTGACTGCTAACCAGAAGGCTGGCAGTTCAAACCCACCAGCCACTCCTCAGAAGGAAGGTTGGGCAATCTACTTCGGTAGGGCTACCACTTGAGAAACCCATGGAGGGGTTGCTATGAGTCAGATCCGACTCGATGGCAGTGTGTTTGGTTTGGGTTATGGAGATCCATAAGCCAGTTTCTGCTTCAATGAACTCATATTCTGCTGAAGAAAAGCTATGCAGTCAAATAAGTTCTGAGCAAAATGTATAAAAATTAGGCTAGAAATATGCCCAAAGGGCTATAGAAGCACAGAGAAGAGGCAGTTTGAAACTATAAGTCTATCAGAAGTGGAAACAATGGGAAAGCAATGACTTACTTTCCTTTTGGGAATCTTGTCTTGCTTTAAAAATATGTATTTTTTTCCTGTAAAAGAAAAGGAAAATAAATTATTTGCTTCGCTATTCAGAAACTCTCAAAGGAAATTATGCTACTTGATTAAAATGTATTTTTAGCCTCTTAATTTTCAGAGCTTTCATCACTCTTCAGCATAGGGAAATTAGAGGATAGGAAAAAATGATGGAACTAAGTAGAAATCTACGCATTTGTGTTCCTGTCCTTTTTCTCTCTCTGTCTGTTTATCTCTCTACTTCTCTCTCTCTATCTGTCATCTATCTATATCTATGTATCTATGTATCTAACTGTGGTAGTTAAGTTTGTGTGTCAACTTGGCTGGGACTGGTTGAATGGCTGGGCAGTTGGATGTACTATTCCCCATGATAAGACTGGTAATCAACTCCATGGTGGAATCTACCATGAGCAGCTGAGTAGCTGCCTTAGGGATGTGGTCTGCTTCCTGTATATAAGGAGACTTGGGGAATGGTCTCTAGATTACGGCATGCTCGAACCTGCATGTAGCTGGGTCATTCAGCAGGCTGCCACGCTTTGCCGACCTTAGGACTTTCAATGGACCTAAATTAATGGCCTGCCATGTGGTTTGGTAACATTGGGACTGTGCCTTTTTACTTGTCAACCTTGGGCTTGTCAGTCGCAGCAGCCAGCAGCTGTCTGAGTAAAGAAAAGTTTCTAGCTCCAGTGACTTGGGAGCAGGAGGCAGAGGTGAAGCCCAAGGTTGAGGGGGTTTCACCCAGCCCCTAGAGCCTGGTACTTTGAACTCAGACTTCTAGCCTCCAAAATTGTAAGAGAATAAACTCCTGTTTTTTCAGCCATCACATTTGTGGTATATTCTTGTTAGAGCAGTACTAGGTAACCAGAACACTCACTAACTGTTTATCATCTCTGTCTTTTTCCTCTCTTTTCTAAGTCTGATATGGAATTGATTTATAGATGGGGGACCATGACAACATTATAGGAAAATTTGTTTGGAGATTTTTTTCTGACAAAATATTAATTTCTTTTTTACATGCATATTAAAAAAAGGGGGGAGGGTTAATTCCAATCTCAGTCTTAATTTATGATGCCTAAGACAAACACATACATACACAACACCTTTCGTATGAGACCAGAGGTAACTGCACTATGTAGACAACCTCTTGGAAAAACACAATATAAATGTAATGTAAGCCTATTATCATTTCAGGAGACAAGATCATCTGCTGCAAGAATGGTGACCTTATCTTGTGGTTTGCTCAGACAGTCATTGTTAATAATGTTATCAATCACCTATCAAGTATTAGTTATTTTTAGCATCCCCTTTCACTTTCAAAGGCATACCAGTTTGGATGATAAATTATATGCTCAACCTAGCTATAAATCCTCTGTGCAAGTGATAGAAATATGTGATTTTGCATGTGGAGACTCTGGAATTTGCAGTGTGATTATGGGTCTTTCTCTACATTCATAGCCAGAGTCATCCATGCTTCTGAGTCTTTCCAGTCTGGGGAGAATGCACTGCTCATGTCACCATTGTTCTCCTTTCCTATGAAACTCAAAGGGTTCCTTCTCTGATTGACATTCAGATGATTGTGTTTGGGATAGCAGCAGGCTTGGCGCTGGCCACAGACTACAGGTAACTTACAGAAAATACCACAATAAAACCACACTTAGGGAAATAATGCCTGAAACCAACTCTCCACTCATGAAAGGCAGAAGCACCGTACAGCAGTGTGGAAACATCAACATCTAAAATGCCAAAGAGATGATGCAAATCATAAAGTTTATTTCAGCAGCTTTATGGTGATTTTCCTCTCTTTGCAATTTCTTTGCAAAATGTCTTTACCCCAAGAGAGCATCCATACTAATTATCGTGGACAGATTTATTCTGCTAGAAGGCCTTTATTCTCCTAGGATATTAACTGGCCCTTTGGAAAGATCCAGACACTACTAAGTCATAATTAAGGTAGGAATTTTATGCTATATTTCCAGCAAGGGAAAAGAGTTTAGTAATCTCCAATTCTAGTGACTTAATTTGGCCACCTTGTGATGAAGGACACACAAGACTTATCTCCAGGAAATCAAGGTATAAGTGTGTGGACATTAAATAAATCATTTCTTTCAGGTGCAGGTTAGCAATATTTACATAGGATTTTATTACATTTTGAATTTCTCCTCCTTATGTTATAATTGTCTGCTCCTTGTCTGTATCCTATACTAGACCCTAAACTTCAGGAGGTTGGAACCATGTGTATTTGTTGATGAAATGTACCACCAACATTTGGCAAAGTGTCTGCCAATAGTAAATATATTTTGATAATTATTGGATGAAGATGTGAATAAATAGATAAGCACTCAGCTACAGAGCAATTCTAACTGGTTAGGAGGTCATCGAACCTGTCCCCTTGACCCCAGTGCTATGACTAACTTACTTTCTCTCTTATGGCAGAAAGGTATAGGATCTCTCTCAAACAGGCATCAAATTTGAGAATGAAGTATCATTCTGGATATTTTTTTTTTCTGATTTGAAACATGTTCTACTATCTACATGATAGAATTTGAAAGCCCTTTATAAAATACTGTATATATCAGTAGTGAGTCACTGAGTGGTGTAACTGGTGAACACTCTGAACTGCTAACCAAAAGGATGGAGGTTTGAACCTCCTCAAGAAGAAATGTCTGGCAATCTACATCCTAAAAAAATAAACAAACTATTAAAATCCTATGGAATACAGTTTTATTTTAACATGTGTGGGGTTGCCATGAGTCAAAACTGACTCCACAACAACTAGTATATATATCAACAATACTATCTGAAGTGTTAAGGAGCAAAGATGTCACTTTGAAGACTAAGGTGCATCTGACCGAAGCCATGGTATCATCAATAGCCTCATACGCATGTGAAACCTGAACAATGAATGAGGAAGACCAAAGAAGAGTTGATACCTTTGAATTGTGGTGTTGGCAAAGAACACTGAAAATACTACAGACTGCCAAAAGAATGAACAGATCTGTCCTGGAAGAAGTGCAGCTGGAATGGTCTTTAGAAGCAAGAATGACCAGACTTCGTCTCACCTACTTTGGTCATGTTGTCAGAAGGGACCAGTCCCTGGAGAAGGATATCATGCTCGGTAAAGTGGAGGGTCAGCAAAAAAAGGGGAAGACCCTCAATGAGATGGATTGACACAGTGGCTGCAACTAGGGGCTCCAGCATATTAAGGGATGTGAGGATGGCACAGGACTGGGTAGTGTTTCATTCAGTCGTACACAGTGTCGTTAAGAGTCCGAGCCAACTCATGGCACCTAACAACAACAACATCGAAACACATTTTGAAAAGACCATCCAAAATTATCTCCTCCAATGAGCTTTCCTATGAACTAGAAAAAGGCAGAGGAGGAGAGGCTGACTGCACTGTGACCTTGGCTGTGACTGCTAGATTGGCCAAGTGTCCTGACAGCCTCTAGGGTCTTTGCAGCATTAGAGACTGTTCTGGTCACTAATGACTGTGCCAGTCTGACAGGAATATACCACAAATGGGATGGCCTTAACAAAAAGGAGTTTATTCTTACAATTTGGAGGCTTTAAGTCTGAGTTCTAAGGCTCTAGGCACTGGGTGAAAGCCCCTCAACCTTGAGCTTCAGCTCTGCCTCCTACTCCCGGCCCACTGAACTAGAGGCTTTTCTTCACTTAGCAGCTGGCTGCTCAGGCCAACAAGCCCAAGGTTTACAAGTAAAAAGGCACAGTCCTGATGTTACTAAACCACACAGCAGGCCATTTATTCAAGTCCGTTGAAAGTCCCAAGGTTGGCAGAGCATGGCAGGCTGCTGAACAATGACATGGCTACATGCAGGGTTCAAGCATGCCATAAGCTAGAGACCATTCCCAAAGCTGTTTCTTATATATGGGAAGCAGAGCACATCCCTAAAGCAGCTACTCAGATGCTTGTGGTAGATTCCACCATGAAGTTGATTGCCAGTCTCATCATGGGGAATAACTACCACCAACTGCCCAGCCACTAAATCAGGCCCAGCCAACTTGACACAACCTTAAATACCACAGAGACTTTGGGGCTAAGGTGTGCTGCAGCAGCTCTTCCTCTTCTTTAGGCTACATTCAAGTTCTTTAGGCTACATTCAAGTTCTTTAAGCCATTTGCTTGCATTTTCTGTTTCTGTTGCTAAAGAACATCAGAAGGAAGTACTGCATCATATCAATCTCAGAAACCAGATTCTGTGAGAAGATACTGGGAGTGGTAGTGGTGAGATAAAAAGAGAGTGTTGATTTTGAATAACAGGAGTGATATATCTTAACCCCTTTGAACCTCAGCTTCTTAATCTATAAAATGAAAATATTCACCATAGTTGTCTCATGAAGTTGTAAGGTTTAAGCTATTGGCAAGTTGGTTATTTATCCTGCTCACGATTTTGCAGTTCTTACATTTCAGTCTGAGCATTTTGGTTTGAGATGGGTTCAGACAGCCTATGTGAAGCAGACCAAGTATTTTAGGTCTAAAATTGCTAAAAGGTGTTGTGTCTTCTCCATGATATCAGACTGTGAGGCAGCAATTCCACATCCCTGTCTCTTATATAAAAGAGCTCTGGTGGTACAGTGGTTAAAGCTTTTGGCTGCTAACCACTAGGTTGTCAGTTTGAACTCACCAGCTGCTCTACAAGAGAAAGATGAGGCAGTCTGCTTCTGTAAAGATTTACAGCCTTGGAAAACCTATGGGGCAGTTTTACTCTGTCCTAGAGAGTTGTTATAAGTCAGAATCAACTTGGTGGCAGTAGGTTTGTGGGTGGTCTCTTACACAAAACCTTCCCTGGCTTCTCAGTCTATGCAATCACTCCCTTGTTATAACCAAAGCCAATCTCACTGCTATCGAGTAGAGTCTGACTCATAGCAACCCCTCCTTGGGTTTCCGAGGCGGTATCTCTATGGAAGTAGATTGCCCAATTTTCCTTCTGAGGAGTGGCTTGTGGGTTTGAACCACCAGCCTTCTGTTTAGCAGTCAAATGCCTTAGGCATTATGCTACTAGAGCTCCCTTGTTATAGCGCACATTATTTGAACTTTACAACTTAACAGACACCTAATGATATCTCAAAAAGTACAGTCTTTGGCTTGCATTGAAGAAATGAATCCTGTTTGATGGATCTCTGCTTCCTTAGCCCCTAATACAGGCCTTTCAAAACCATTTGAAAAGGGCAGATAACTCCACAGCCATAAAACAACTGGCTTTGCCACCTTTGGGACTCTTGGACCGTGCATTCATATGGAACACTAGCTCCATATTTGCATGACTTCCTTACTTAAGGGGAAAGTTTTTAAGGCTTAGCATGCAAAAGACCTAGGTAGAAAGGATTGATGAGGTAGTCTTGATTAATAGCATCAGAGTAATCACCAAGGTTTCTCACCACAAAGTTTCCAACAACTGCAGTGGTGTGGGGGATGTAGTAACCTTGGAAACAGAAAACTAGAACTCAAGATGAAATGACTAGGGTAAAAATTGAGCACAAAGTAACTTGAGACAGGCAAACAAAGAGATAAGGGAAAAGGGGCCTTATTTTTTGTTATGGGATCCCTGGATGGTGCAAATGGTCAAAGCACTTTTTTTGCTAACAGCAAGACTGGGGGTTTGAGTCCACTCAGAAGCCCACTGGAAGAAAGCCTTGGCTATCTGCTTCTAAAAATCAGCCATTGAAAACCCGATGGAGCAATTCTATTCTGACACACATGGGAGAGTCATTGGTTGGAGTTGATTCAGTGCCAACTAGTATTGAGACTGGCATCTCCTGTTCCTAGGAGTTTTACACTAGGCTTGTAGCACAGTAGCAAGTCTTCTGTACAAAGGTTCCAAGTGCTTTTGCCTTTTATTCTGCTTTCATATTTACTATCATTACAACTGATGTTGGGCCTAATCGAGGATCCTCTACTGTGGGGTATGTGAAGTCCAGGATCTGATAGACTTCATTACTCCTAGGTCAATACTGGCAAAAGCTTTGTTGAGTTTTCCCTCATCTGAATGCTTTCTCTTTGGGGTTTTTGATTGTCAGTTTCTAAGGTATTTCTTGAGTGTCCTATTGCCACCTAAAATTCAACACTCAGAAATAAGCTAAGTATTTCCTCTTCAGGCTTCCCACCTCTTCTCATAATTTTTCAACTTTCCTCACTTCTGTCATTCATTTGTAATGCTGGAATCACCTTAGCTTCTCCCTAGTTGCCTTCACATCCACCAATCTTCAACAATTGCCATTCATGACTGATTGTAAATCATTTGTCTTCCAAATGTGAAAGAATCCTCATCATGACCCTGAGAACTTCAGTAGAGAGAGATGCCTGAGCTCTTTATCTATTGTTATCAGTTTGAAGCATGGGGAAGGGTTCTTCTGGTCTTGTCTCATGTAAGTCACCAACTTTCACAGAAAGCCCAAGACAGAGGACATAGAATACAAAGGAAAAGAAGAAAAGAATTTTAAAAAAGAAAATAATTTGACTCACTATTTGAGTTGGGTTCCTGTTTGATTATTTTTTCTTTGCAGAGAGTGTAGTTATGGAGAGAAAGACACTAATTAAATACTATTCAATTACCTTAGGCACTGTGCCACCAGAGTTCATTTTACTACACATTATATGTCGATCATTTTATACAAGTTATAAAACCATTTGTGTAGTGCAAAAAGTTAAGTGTTTGACTACTAGCTGAAAGACTGGCAATTCCAACCCACTCAGAAGTGCCTTGGAAGACAGGCTTGGTGATCTGCTGCTGAAAGCACAGCCTTGAAAACCTTATGCATGCGTGGGGTCATCATGAGTAAGAATTGACTCGATGGCCATTCTTTTTTTTTTTTTTTTTATCCCAGAATAAGCACAGGGAGCATTATTATCCTATATTTCACCTATGAAGAAACAGAGGACAAAAATGTTAGATAATTTGTCTGAGGACACATAACCACTGAGTGGGAAAGGCTGATTTTGCTTCTGGTGTTTGAACCAGAGCCCAAAGTCTACATTTAAGAAATTGGACTCCAATCATGATAGCATGGGTGCCACTCTATCCAACATGATGATTTTTCTCATATTTTGTACCAAGTTTGATATGGAAATATACGATGGTGTGTGTGCTGATTAGATGATAACCAGATGACAAGAGATAAGCAGAAAGTCAGACCCCAGTAAATATGAGACTTTTAAACATTAAAGAAGACATTTTAGATCAGCATGGAAATGAAGATTCTAGGCTAACTGATTAACTATTTGGAAAAAATATTTATATCTGACACCATATTATTGAATGTGTGGGGCTAAGTGTAAAAAAAACCACAATTATAAAAAAATTATAGTTGGAATGGGGAAAAATTGTTAAGCGTAAATGCAATGGTAGAAATCATAAAGCTTGCTAGACTTCATTATGTTTAAAATATAATAAACAAATTATTTAAAAAATTGATATAGAAAGAGACACAAACTCAAAACATGTTGTTTGTAATAATTATGAGAAAGGACCAATTTCTTCAATAAGAAATAGCTCTTACTCTCAATAAAACAAAATAGGCCAAAATACAACACATTAATGGGGAAAGACATTACTAACTATTCACAAATGAAGAAATAAAAATGATTAATAAATATAGAAATGAAAATAAAGAATGCATCTGATATTAACAGCAATTATAACTGTGATTAAACGAAAATCAAACCCACTGCAATCCAGTTGATTCTGACTCAAAGTTACAGCATAGGACAGAGTGGAGCTGCTCCATAGGGCTTCCAAGGCTGTATAAAAATCTTTTTTTTTT